CCCCCCTTTGCTCACTCCTATCTGAGCTCCTGACTCTTTTTGCTGCCTTTCTACTGCTACACATTGGTTCCTTCTTACTGCTGTCTTTCAGCCACATCATTGATCTTTGGGTAAGTAGGATCTAACACCCAGCCTTCTCGGGTGAGGGCGAAAAAGTTGCGCAAGTTGAAGGTCCGTTAGCTGAGGTAGTCCTAAAATCGATAAGAGTTGGCTTCGGCCACCACTCGGGCAAAATTCAAAATTAATTCCTACCACACTGATGTATAGTATAAGGTTTTACGGCGCTCGCAACTGCTAAGGTCATATGAGCGTTCCCTACCACACTGAAAATGCGTAATGTGTCCCGCACGCTCATATGGCCTTATGCAGTTGCGAGCGCCGTAAAACACTTTTTAAAAGAAATAACTTTTTAAAAAATATTTTTTTAAAGCGCCAATTGACCATGCTGCGCATTACAAAAATCAAAAATGTATCTAAAAGACTTGCTTTCTTGGTGTTGCATTTAAATCTGCTCATTGAAAATAAGAAATCAGATGTTATCAGATATAAACAGAGCCCTGTAGTTCTGTTTTAATTTAATGATTTCGGAAACAATAGCTTTAATTCCTGAAAAGAAAAACCACTGAAGATTATGTTCTACTGGTAAGGTATAAACATTCAGTCTCTTTCTTGTGGTTTGGCTGGGGCTTTGTCACAGACCACAGAATAACCTGCCGACGATGTAGACAGGAACCATACAGTTATCTCCTTTTTAAAACTAGTCGTTTAAATCTATGCAGGAACACAAATTTATTATATTTATTTTGTCTTTACATGTTATTCAAATTCGTTTTGGGTTTGTTTTGTTTTTTAATAGGCATATATATAAATAGCTTGTCATGCACAAAAGTGTGCACCGAACGCACGCTTGGTGCATTTTCATCGAAACATTTAATTCTGACTTTGACAGCTGGCTCATGGTCGAAAATGTGACTTTAACTTGAACGTTTTATCAAGTGCTAATAAAATATAGGCGTATTGGTCGCTCTTAGGGACAAGCGATGTAACTAATTTCGGGGGTTTCCAGAAATCTTGACCTACACCAAAAGTGGGCATTGCCTTACCTATAGGAGAAGTTTGGTTTCATTGGTGTGTATATTTTTTTGGTTGTAGAGAAACGCTCCTTGTCTTTTAAAGAAACTGTTAAGGGAAGAACTTAACCTTCGATTTTCTCAAAATAACATTTTTCGGGATAGTCCCCTTGTGCTTAAAAGCGGCCAATTCAAGCTTGATGTGATAATAGAACCACAAATAACCTATTAACCTGTGAATTCTGTATACGAAGCTAGCTTATCGTTTTCAGCAGCAGTTTTTGTGTGTGTGTGTGTGGGAGGCAAATTCCTTCGGACACACAATGCGGAAAGAAGAAGTTGGAGAATATTGTAAATACAGGCAAGTTTGATGGAAAGACAGGCAGAGGCAAACAGAGGGAAAAGATACTGGACAAAATGACAACATGGCTAGGAGCAGCAAGAACAACAGACACCATTGCTGCAACGCAAGACAGAGTGAAATGGAGGTCCATGATCGCCCACGCCAGTCGGCAAGGCACCGGGTGATGATGATTTGGGTAGGGGGG